TGTACGAAGGCAAACATTACAGATGACAAACCTTTCCAGTTTGGACATTCTGTTGTGATTCTGTTTCTTGTTCTTCCATATCAGGAAGTAGGGTGTAAACCATTCCACCAGGTTGCTGGAAACAGTCTTTTGCTAGATGACCTTCATGTAAAGATTATGGCATTCAATGAACCATAATTACAAACTTCTATAGAAGAACTGAGCAGATTTCAAAACAGTTTTCAATTTATAAAAAGTAAAGAATTATCTTATAAGGAAAAAGAAACCTAGCAGTAGCCTCTTCTGGTAATTAAAATAAGTAACTGGGATACTGTCACAATAAATAAATTTGAACGATTTTTTTGATTTTTTTAAAATGTTCTCTAAACTTTCCAGTAACAGGCATCATTTTTATGTACTTAGGTCCACTAAATATTAAGCTACAGAAATTTGTCATTTCTATTTCTACCTCCTGGGAAGATTGTCTTAAATTGTTAAAACTTTAAGAAGTGTTCAAAAGTCTATGGCTAACTTTTTGAACGCTTTCAAATTTATATATAATGCCATCAGAAGACCCTACAATTGTAAAATGTAAATAATTTCTACCCTTCATAACTTGGCAGATTTCAATAAATAGACATACAACTGCTGAATATTAAACTTGGATATGTTCAATTAACTTTGATGAGGAAAATATATTACAATAGATGCATGAATAATATATAAATTTCATCTGATCTGTAAAACTTGTAAAAAATTGGAGCTTTTAAATTTAGTTGTGTCAACCAATGAGATAATTCAATTTCTTATACACCATACCGAAAAACACAGTATATAAGTTTAACAATCATTGCTTAACATCCTACTTCATTACACTCAAACATTTAATTTACAAACTTTATTATGGTTATCAATGATATAAATCTGATAAATAAGCTCCAATAAACTTGTTAGTGATTACCAATTATATATATATTTTAATAATATGATGATGCTCAAATCAGTGTAGTGGTAAATCCAGATTTTACTGTAACCAACTGACAAAAAATTAAAAGTGTCCTATTACAAATTTATAATGAATAGACACTCATCCTTCTACCCACTGCAACTATCATTACTAATACTATAAGCTTAAAACATAATTGACATATGTTCATCACATAAATTTATTTTTAACTATTAATCAGCAACAAAATAATTAATGCTATTATACACACACCCTTCACCACTACTACTACTCATAAGGATTAATTTATAGAGTATAAGAACAAAGTGAACTAATTTTTAATGAAAAATTGTCATGAGTTACTTTCAAATTTCATCTTGTTTTTTTCCATGGTATTAAGCAAAACTGTGACAATTTTTTTTTACCTCTTGTTCCACATTTCTTACAAATTGTGTTATAAACAGCTTCCAAGGTGATTTTTTTTTTTTCATAGTGATTGCAGATCTTTCGTCTGTTTTCATCTTGTCTATGGAAATAAATGAATCAAGAATTTTAGGTGGTGGGCATTAAAAAATCAAACATATGAAGGTATTAGAAGAGAAGTTCATTTGAAAATAGTATTTATGCAAAAAAAAGTGGACAGATTTGTTAACTTACTAAATATTTATATCCTAATTGTGAAAGTATCTGGCTTCATTCAGGTTATTTGGTTAATATATTCTAGATGTTTGTTTGTTTGTAATTAAGTCACTAAAGCTACACAATGGGCTATACTGTGCTCTG